TGGTCAGTCTTCCCTCTACTTTGGGAGTGGAAAAGGAAAACAACCCCAAAACCCAACACTACCCAAAGTAGAGTTGTTTCCATAAGTGTCTCTGAAACTACATGGAGCTCAAGAATCATTCTGGAGCTGGGCTGTGTGCCTACAAAGCAATGAGCAAGGCACGACTCAAGGTAAGGGACCCTTCCCTGCCCAACTCGTGCTCTCCGACTGCCCACCCACCCTTTTGCTTCTCCTAGCCACAAGCGAGCCACAAGGAGTGGGAAGGCACCAAGGGAGATACTTGACTACCCTGATGCATTTTTTTCAACACCAGAGCAAGGAAGCACGGTATCACCCCACTAGAAAGTACAAACAGAGGGTTTGTACGCTCAACTTTCTTTCCATGTCATAAACTCTTCCGTAAAATAAGTCCACGTTAGTTCCAGTGGGCTTTTGCTTTTAATCTGAAGTTTGGACGTGAGCCGCAGCCCTCTGCACAGGGAGCAGCACGAGGAAGGAGAGATGAGCACACAGATGTGTGCTCAGGTAACTGTGTTCAGGGACTGGCCTTTCCCAACATCTCAGCAGCTCGGGGAAGCAACGCCGAGCCATCTGAGTCACGCTGTGTGGTGAAACAGGTACGTTTCCACACACTAAGGCAAAGGGCTCTTCTGTAGCAAGTCCTCATTAGCACTCCAGGCAATCGTGACCTCAGCACCTTCCAGCCTGGAAGCCCAGCCACTCGGCACCGCTGTTCTAACAGAACCAAAGCAGGGAATTTCAATTTCGTGCTGTGTGACAGGAGTCTGGAAGTCTGGGCACAGGCTACTATCGAACACAGCAGTTCCCAAACTACCTGAACATCTAAGTGCGTCCTTTGTGATTAGGCATTTGGTGGTAAAAACACACCACAGGGCTTGACTGTGATGTATTGCTTCAACTAGTGTCAAAACCACTGGAATCATAGGACATGGTAGCTAGAAGACCTTGATATGATCTACAAGTCTGTACCATCACAATATTAACTAATTTCCTACCACCACACTAGGTCGTTCTCAAACATAATTAACTGGTGTCTGAGGAAGAGATAAGCAAAACACCTTTCTTTGTGTTGCACGTTCCGGGTGCCAATTCGCTGTCAGGGCCCTAAGAGTAAGCTGCTCTTAACTCACTGGGTCATTCCCACGGGTAGCAGACTTGCACGTTTTCTCTCACACTCAGCATTTTAAGCTCATCTTTCATTGATCTAACTCAGCGGCAAGACTGTATAGACAGTAAGGATGACGTGAGAACTCATTTCGACCTCTGAACCCTGTACCGCTGCTCTCTGGTTGGGTATTGCAACCATGCTTCACTTTCTCCCATCGAGGGCTGTGCATCTCCTCCTAAGCAAGCTCCTCAACCCCAGCACTTCCCTCAACTCTGTATTTTTCGTGCCTTCCCAGGCATTGGCCTTAGGACAGGAACAGCTTTGTTTTTTTTCTCTGCTGCACTGTCCTCCAAAAGGAAAATATTTCCCTTGGTCAGGGGAACTTCCTGTCACTTGGAAAAATTGGCTCATTTTTAGTAAGGCTTCATACTATTCTGCAAGAGACTCGTTATCTAACTAAAGGGCACAAGCCAGAGAGGGATGCTCCCCAAGACACGAGCAAATCCACTCCTACTCCCGCAAAAAGGCTCAAGGCAAAGCGTCAGAGATTGACCCACCACCACGCTGCGGCAAGGGGAGCCACGCGGCTCCAAAGCCTGGGAGAAACTCACTTGCTGGTTGGCCATTGTGTGATACCACCAGAAAAGTCTCGTAGTGATGTAGTAAGCCACCACCACGTCCACAGTGTAGTGGTCATGAGCAAGGAGGATGCAGAACATCCCAACCATGCTGAGTGCCCAGCAAAGCCAGTGATACCACCAGAGGCGCCGCGGGGAATCTGCAAAGAAGCACAAGGCGGGATTATTTCCGAGCGTAACGTTATCAGCACGCAAGGCTATTGCTGTAATTAGCAGAGGACGTGGACTGCAATCCTGGGTGGGTAGTGCAATGTCTGCACTCAGATTAGGAGCAGGAACGCTGACATCATGAAATAAGTACCATTCTCTTCAGGTGCAACGTAGAAGTGCACTCAAGGGTAATCAGATCCTTCGACAACAGAAAGGCTACGAAATTTTGGAGAAACAAGCCCAACGCATAACAATATAACACATCCCCGTCAGTAACAAATTGCTTTGCATTTCAATATTGATTCTACGTAGTTGGCAAGCCAACTTGCTTTTCCTAAAAGATAAATGCATTCTTGCAAAAAGCAACCTTGCATTTCGCCTGGCTGGCATTCATCTCCCTCTAGATTAGAAGACACACAGTTAAAATATCGATCATGGGGCAGGGTGCAATGAAGGTGTCAGTTACATTCCAAACTAAATTTTTTCAAGTCAAAAGCTTCATTCAGGTCTCTACAAGGTCAAGTGTCTTCTTCTGTGCCCCAAGTTTTCATTTTCAGTAAGCCCTATGTCTTTGAAGTTCCATTATTTTTATTTAATTGAAGAAACGTGCATTTTCAATTGTATTTACCAATAACTCTTCAATTAGCAATGAATTACCCAACAGGAAATTCAACACGAACAGTAACGCACTTACACTCTTTGATAAATAAGTACGTAAGAGTTAATATGACGGTGTGACCGCTGTACAGATAGTCACCGCACATGTTGTGGGATCCCGTGATGGACAATCCTCCGCCAGCAATCAACTTCATTATCCTCCGCAGATGAGATTCCCAGTCTCCAAAAAGCTGGTGGAAGAGTAAAACACAAAAGCACAGTAAAATACCAGCGCTGGCCTTTCCGAAGTTAAAGCAGGGGCGTTAGCCAGCGGCTTGGCCTTCCACTTATTCCCTCTTTTTGCTTTGATCAGTAAACCCACAGTCTTTTCCAAAAGCTAGCAGCACGTTTCTAAAGGGGAAAAAGACTGCAAGGGAGACAGGAATTCAGCTTTTACGGCTGCTTTGCATCTATTATAGCTTGTCTTTATGTAAGCACCTCCACCCGTTTGTCCAAAACATTATTTTAAATTCTCAAGGTCTGAAGAATGAAGGAAATTATTACAACCCCCCTATAAATAT